TTGAATACATTTAATTTGATGAAAAACAATTCCAAGAACATATAGTCATGTGTAGTATAATGACATTTCATTAATGATGAACTGCATATGAATATGAAGGTGGTCTCATAAGATGTATAATACTGTATTTTACTGTACCTTTTCTATGTTTAGAGATGTAAACACTTTACCACTGTGTTACAACTGCTTACAGTATTAAGCCATATAAGTTTGTAGTCTAGGATCAATAGGCTATGCCATATAGCCTAGCTATGTAGTAGGCCATACCATACTTGAGTAAGTACCCTTTATGACACTGGCACAAGGGTGAAATTGACTAACAAACACATTTTTCAGAACCTGTTTGTGTTGTTTTGCAACACATGACTGGATTTACAGGGTCTATCTGAAGAGTCACAAAGACTCACATGCATCCTTTTCAATAATATTCACAGAATAACATAAACATTTTGATAGCCACAAAGACTGCACATTATGTCTACATATACTACATCCAAATATACCCATACTCTTCAAGCCTTCAAAACATATTCAAACTCAAGACACATACAGAGTCATACTTTTATTTGATACACTGGGCAAATAAAGTATTTTAAAATAACAATATAAAATAATATTCATTCTTTAAAAAAAAATTAGCAAATATTCGTAGATATTGGGTTTGTATGAATAAAGTTTGAACTAAGTTATTTATTCTTCAAGCCTTTTTTTTTTTTAAACTTTAAGAAGGCATTCACCAAAGCTAAAGTGTTATAACAATGGGGGCAGTGGCTTCTAAGGACATTAAAGTTAGTTGATTATATTAGCCAACAGTAAGAAAACTGCTCAAGCCGGGCTCCGTGGCTCAGCCTGTAATCCCGCGCCTTTGGGAGGCTGAGGTGAGTGGATTGCCTGAGTCCGCGGGTTCGAGACCCGCCTGGGCAGGCGAGACCTCATCTCTACAATAAATCAAAAAATTAGCTGGGTGTGGTAGCGCACGCCTGTAATTCTGGCTACTTGGTAAGCTGAGGAGGAAGGATCGCTGGAGCCCAGCAGGTCGAGGCTGCGGTGGCCGGGAGCGGCCACTGCACTCCAGTCTGGGCGACAGAGTGAGACTCCAACTCAAAAAAACAAAAAGAAAACTGCTCACAAAAGTCTTTCCAATATTTTCAAGATCATATTCTAAACAAATACTTGTACGAGAATGGTCATAGCAGCACTATTTTACATTAGCAAAAAGGTAGAAACAGGACAAATGTTCATAAACAGATGAATGGAAAAACAAAATGTGATGTATTTTCACAGTGAAGTATTATTCAACTATAAAAAAAGGAATGAAGTACTGATACACACTACATGGATGAACCCTGAAAACATTTTGCTAAGTGAAAGAAGCTAACAGACATAAAAGGTCACACATTACATGACTCCATTTATATGAAATATACAGAATTAGTAAATCAGAAGTAAGAATAAATAAAAACAGAAAGCAAATTGGTGGGATAGAGGTTAATGAGGAATCACTGCTTAATAGAAAATACAGTTTGTTTTAGTTTAGGAGCAATGAAAATGTTTTGGAACTTGATAAAGGCAGTAGTTGTACAACATTATGAACATACTAAGTATTAATACCACTCAATCGTTTTCTTTAAAATAAGCTAATCTTATGTGAATTGCACTTCAGTTTTTCTAAAAGCTTAGACATTCACAGAATAAAAAATCTGGGTGTTTTTAAAATTTTCATTTTTTTTAGTAATGGATTTTAGCCATTGACTAAAGACTCTAATATAATTACTTTAAAAATGACACAAGTGAACTGTAGAAATAAACTTTGGATTTTAAAATCTGATCAAATAAAAAGTTTAAGTAGTATTTCATTTTTGATTGAACATTCACGTACATGTACACATACGCACTGTAGAGTATGTACCACATATGCCTGAATATAGTGAGAATTAACCTCCAAATTTTATTTGTTATAAATATCATGTTGTATTTCAGGTTTTACCAAACTGTGCACCCTGGCTTTCTTGACTAGTAGATTTTGAGCAACAAAGTACTCTTTGACATAGTGTAAAAAAATTTTCACTGGGCACAGTAGCTCATGCCTGTAATCCCAGCACTTTGGGAGGTCAAGGTGGGAGGACCGCTTGAGTCCAGGAGTTCTAGACCAGCCTAGGCAACACAGTAAGACCTTGTCTCCACAAAAATAATAAATAAATAAATAAATAAATAAATAAATAAATAAAAATTAGCCAGGCATGGTGGCGCATGCCAGTAGTCCTGAATACTTGAAGGATGACCTGGGACCAGGAGGTTGAGGCTGCAGTCAGCTGTAATGGTGCCCTGCACTTTACCCTGGGCAACAGAGTAAGACTCTGACTCAAAAAAAACAAATAACAAAAACAACCCTTAATTAATGCTGATTTGTGAAATTTTAAGATCACCTGACATAGTAGTAAAAGAAGAGGCAAAGAAATTTAATAATAACTTAGTTCCTGATGCTAAAAATCTACCATTGCAAATGCTAGATGTCACTGTATACAAGTCTTTTACAGACTACTTTAAAAAGCAATCCAGTTATTAGTTATATTGTAGAGATAATAAACATACCTACAGTACAAAAGAAAATAAAGCATGTTGCTTTATAAATGGGTACTTGTAGATTTTCCCATTGGTATACTCATATATATTCAAAAAGTGCTTCTTTAAAAGTTTAGATAATGTAACCTAAAAAAAGGATAGATGCTTCAAAAGTATCACTATTGACTGTAAAGACATAGATATAAAAGATGCACATAAAGAGTTTGAATGAAATTGTTTTATGAAATTTGAGCTGCAAAAAAGCAAAACTCCTAAATCAATAATCTTACATGATTTAAAATATATTCAAATTAACATAAAAATCAATTTGGGATCTTCTTAATAGGAAAATGGGAGATCATTTTATATTCAAGGATTATCAGTATGTGTGTTAGACAGGAGACTGAAAAGAATTACACTATAAAATGCTAAAAAAGTGATTATTTTGAAGGCTAACCAAGTGATTATTTTGGAGTTGTGATTTTAATTTTCACTATACTTCTTTTGTATTTTCAACATTTTCCTCAGTCTACACACATTGTTCTTGATTAAAACTAAAGCTACAAGAATTAAAAATAAAATTTATTTTCTCAAGAGGTCTAAAACTTCTTATAATATGAAATCATAGAATCTTTGCTCTGGAAGAGGCCAACACAGTCTCCTGGTTCAACCTTCTGCCAAATTGGAGTAATCTTACTACAGACAATATCTGACATTTTATAGCTTTTTCCTGAATCCTTCTGGATACAGAGATGAGTGTTTTAAAAACAACTTGTTCCACTGTTAAACAACTGAAAATTTCCTTATTGACGTATCAATAATTTTACTCAGTCTCTATCTTTGCCAGCAACTGAGGTCTCTTAATAAGTCCAAATATGTACAGCTTTCTAATTTTCTGCCATTTTCAATTTTGCAATTTGGAGAAAGAACACGTTTACTCCTTTCTTTATAAGATGTCTGAGGTAATTTTAGACAGCTATCAGGAGTACCTTAAATTGTCCCTGTTCCAGGCTCTATATTCAATTCTGCTTCTTTGTAAATCCTACTCCTCACTTACTAGTATTTTTCTTAAAATGAGGTAGCCAGGACCTAAAATGACATTCTGAATGGTTTCTGGCTAGCTTTTTCAAATAGTCAGAATTAATAGTCTCAGGATATATGGACATTCTTTTTTTTTAAATGTAGTTTAAGACTGCATCAGCATTACTAGTAGTTTCATAATACTGACTGCTTAAGTTTATAGTCAACTAAAATGTCTAAGTATTTTCATTATCAATTCATGTTTTCCTCAGCTACTGTTTATGCCATGCATCTTTTCGTGTTAAATTTTATAAAAGTTTAAATATGGGGAAAAAACATTCACTGCAGAATGAAAGAAATATATCTCTTTCTTGGTCACAGAATGTTCTACATCTCTCTTACATATTTTCTAGCCTGACTATGCTTTCTAGTCAAGCATACTAGACTAGACTAGAATGTATCAACTATTTCTTATTTTCTTTGTAGGAAATTGTACACTTTTGATGTTCAGCTTAAGAAAATCACATCATCAGAGGTGGTATGGTTGAATGAATGAATCACTTCGGGTTTTAACAAGGAAGAAAGGAAAAGTTAAAAATAAATGGTAAAGAAATAATGACTACTCCTAGGTCTTTCAGAACCACCAATACACACAGTCAGTTTTCCTTTCAATATTTTCCCAGTAGCAACAATGGTGTCAAGTCCCAGAGAGGATAAGGATTTCTGTCTACATTCTTTGCACAAGTTCTTAGAAAGAATTTATAGAATTCTAGTTTTCTTCCTGTTTGTAAAATAACTGGATTTACACAACTATAGACACAAATTTTCGGGTTTAAAAACTTGATATATTTGAGACCAGCCTGGGCAACTTGGTGAGATCTTGTCTCTACAATAAATAAAAAATTAGCTGAGCACAGTAGCATGCGCCTGCGGCTCTGGCTACTTGGAAGGCTGACGTGGAAGGCTCGCCAGAGCCCAGCAGACCGATGCTGGGGTGGCCGTGAGCATGCCACTGCACTCCAGCCTGTGACGGAGTAAGACTCTGTATAAATGCTTGGGAGGTAAGAAATGCTAACATTTTAAGTTTCAGATTCAAACCTAAAAGTTAATTTGTACATTAGTCTAATTAGTAATAAACTTCACTCACTGAACTCTATAACTTCTCATGTGCCAAGATTATAATCTGCTAACAAAACAATTAAAGAAGCTATGCATAATTGAAAAATTTCACCTGCCATTATTATTTTTTTAAAGCCATACAAGTAGTGGCTAATAAGTTAGAAAGGGTGTTTCCGACTCTCAAACATAGTTAAGATGCCCATTTTGTCCTCCATAGATTTTAATTAATGGATTGTCATTTCACACCCTCTTGTGTAGCTTTCCCAAAAATGATTAAAGAACTAAATGTTTGAAATTACCTTGAGTGGTGAAGTTGAAGAGTGCAGGTGTATCTCGTCCATTTGGTAGTTTGACATTTGGGTCCCGTAATTCATCAAAAAATGAATGTGCACAAGCTTCCAGTGGTGTCAACCGGGCAGTTGGTGTATACTCCAGCAGACGGCTACACAGTGCAATTGCCTCTGGTGGAGTTCGGGGTCGGAAGACCTGCAGTACAAAAAAGGGAAAGAATAATTAATGTTTTATTATAAGAATCTAAGCAAATAACCCTCTTGAGTACTGAGTTAATTCCCACCATGTACAAAAACATGGCTGCATTTGAGAAAGGAGCCTTCTAGAATAAAAACAGTTAACTGCATATGATTCACCAAACTGGGGTGAACCAATAATTAAAGACTGCATGAGAAAGGCTTAGAGAAAAATCTGCATATGCTAACCATAAAGCAGTACAATCAAACATGCATACAAAATATGACAGGTACATGGGAAAGGCTGGGTTCTGGAGGCAAGCACGACTAGAAAAATATTTTTAAAATTTTGAAGTTTTTAGCAAAACAATTATTGACAATGGGCAGCCATGTTAAAAAAAATTGGCAATCAATATACTAAAAAAAGAATAAAAACAGTTTACTCTAGGTCTATAAATGCTAATGATTTGGTATCATGTCCTCAATAAACAAAGTCTGTCATTATTTAAAGAAATTCTTGAATCCCTATAATTTGACAAAATTTCCTACACTGTTTACTAAAGTACCTATTATCATGAATGTGCCAGATTACTCTTATTTGAATGATTATTCCAGGGTTTTAATAAGGGAGAGAAAAATGTATTATTCATTAAAAGCACCAGTCACAGAAAAAGTCAACTGAAGGCTTTACTGAAGTAATAGTCAATTAAACTAATCTGCTTTAAAGGAATAGATAGTTTCCTACTCATTTGTGTCTCAACAAAACTAATCAATACATAAAACTATGATCTATTCTAAATTATAGCCCGTTAAAGAATAAAAATAAAAGGGGAAGAAATAGAAATAACTATGAACAGATAAACAGACAAGAAGCCTTTGAAACAAAATAGAAAATATGTTCCTTTGATAGGAAGAATATACAATTCAATAAAAGGTGTGGTGATAGAGGTGGACAACATTAGACACCAGACATTTATAAATGGGAGGAAATAGACCCACAGTTGAGGAAAGGACAACATATTATGACAGGGTACAGAGCAGCCTGGGAGGGTAAGGTTTCCTAGTGACAATGGCTTATGGAACAGCTGACTGTTTACTTATAGTGAAGGTAGGAGAACTAGATACAACTACAGAGCCCATCAGATTTTCAAGAGACTGTGAATACTGTATACAATTTTTAAATTTTGTTTTTATACACAGTTCATTGTTGAAAAAAGAGATTTTCCATGAAAACTGAGTGGAGGAGGATCTTAGGACTGTATTTCAAAACCTTAAAGGCCTTAGTCAACTTATTGGTTAAAAAAAAAAAAACTTTATAAGGTCAAAAACTTCCTTTTCTTTATGCTTTTGAGTACTCTAACTTGACTCAGTCAAGGGAACCTTAAGTTAATTGTAGTACTTCAAATGTTTAAATCTTCCACTGTTCTCAGTCTCATCTCTTGCTCCCAAGGTCCATAATCAAATCCAGAATGTAAAATGAAAATAATCAGTGGAAAAAACCCAGAAAAATTTTCATAAAAATATTAACCACTACTGACATATATTATTCTTATGGGCAGGTCTGCATCTATTTGACAGTTTATAGATTGATTTTGCTAGCTAATTCAAAATGCTTTTGCACTAATATGGTGGCACATAAAAGTAGAAATTAAAAATAGCACTAAATGTAGAAATGAGTATTTCCTGCTACCATTCAAATGTAGGGTAGCTGGATGGTGAGTTATTTTTAATGAAAAATTTCCTGTTATGCTTTCAAAGATTTTGTGTTAAAGCTATTAATAAACCAGTACTGTAAGATTATTTCTGATTATTATTTTTTCAAGTCATACATATTCTTCAGGTGTTTTACAAGCTATAGGTGATTATCCATCTTGGTACTTAGACATATATTAGCTTATATTTGTCAGAGAATCCTAACTTATGGAGTTGAAGAGTTAAAAGCAAAATAATTCATTCTAAGAGTCTACATCAAAATCAAGATTTAACCACCCTTTAAAAAAAGTATCCACTGTCATTTTGACCCTTTGAGAAATTAGTGATGAGAAAAAGCATTGGCTTTAGTACTCTGTGGATAAAGGTTAAGTGGAATATTATGTGGGGTCAAAACCCAGTATCTCCCAGAGTTCATATTTCTGACCATAACACAGGGTGTGGTAGCATGTAACTCCTCAACGTTATAGGGCAAACTAGAAACTAGCTGTTCTGGATTATTTTTGTGTCTAAAGGAAAGGAAACCAACAACTGAAATTTGGTTTTTAATAAAGAAGTTTTTGCTGCCTTCATTCCTTACTCATTAAACTGCTTAACACTCAGAATCTTTGGTTTCATGGTTCTTTCTCAATATTTATTCTTGTAATAATAAAAATTTTAAAACATCACAATTCCTTAACTTTAGTCTAGATATTAATGAATCATCCAAGAGACTGACAATCTAAATATACCATAAACAAGATCTACACCATATAATGAATGAAAACAGAAATCACAGTCACCTACATTGTTTTCACTATTACATTTCAAGAATGAACAACTGTTTGAAAACTTTCAAAAAAAATTTCCCCCAAGTTTTATAGTCCTGCCTTGAAATTTTGGAAAAAAAAAAAAAATTAAGTACATACCCGCACTCCTGAGGTGAAATGTCCTGTTCCTGACGAATCCTAAAGATGATAATGCAGTGAAATAATCCAAACAGGGGAAGTCAATCCAAAAGAGAATAGTAGTCCAGCAAGGAAAAATATATCCAATGTTATAAGAAATCCATGTGTGGGGGGACATAGAAAATGTTTATACAGTTATAAACTTTAAACATCAGTCTCAGTAGTAAGTCCAAGTTTTAAAAATTATTTCACCACAGTGTATGCAAAAAAATTTTTTGATTGCGCAATGGTGAGGCACAGTAAAGAAACATTTTAATTTTAGTTTATTATGTTCCAATGCCAGTGCATTTATTAAAAAAATACAAAACCAAAAAAAGTTAAAATCAAAATGAAATCTAGAAGTAAAGTTCCCAAAGAAAAGTGGTCTTCTATGACCTGGAGTCATCATCCACAGACGTAGCTGGGAGGGGGCATATTAGCCTGCTTTTAAAGTTCCCAATATGCTAATTTTTCTCTATTAATGTGTTCCAGTTACAGTATAAACATTTTTTTTGCTAAATTATTAATCATGAGAGGAAAGTAATAAACATATTTAATTTATATTACTATAGCTTTTAAGCCAGATATTTTCAATTTGTGTGAGCTAAGAAGAATCAGGCCACCGCGGATTATTCTCCATTTTGGATTGACTTCCCTGCTAAAAGATGTTTATTTGCTGACATCCTCATTATCTTAGGACTCTTCAGGAAACTGACATATCACCTCAGGATGCGGGTATAAACTTACTTTTTCTATTGTGGGCTTTGCCCCCTCATACCCTTGCACCCATTACTTAGGAAAAATAGAGAACATTCTTTCCTCTTTGGAAAAACTCAGTGAAAAAAAAAATCCTACATCTTTGAGTACTACAAATTAAACACAGTTCTATCTGCAAATATGCCCAATTCACCCACCAAAAGCTAAACAAAAATATATAAAATAAACAATACAACTAAGGGACAGTCACAGTTACAGGTGACACGCATTAATAATGTACACCAACACCTAGGCACAACGGAGCCAAATATGCAAGGGAGGTAGTAGGGTCTATTATGTCTAGGTATTGAGAACAAAAAATGGCAGAACTCACCAGTAGCTGTGAACTCCCTTGGCTATTCTAAGAAAATATAACATTCTTTTAGGATAGTTTCCAGTGGGGGAATTAAATATTTTGCAAAAATAAATAATCCGCGGATTACTTTTAGTCTGCAGACTAAAATTTAGTACACAGATTAAAATCCGGCCCATCAGAGTAAGAATTTCTCATGAACTAAAATACAACCAGGTGGACAAAAATAGAAAACTAGATTAAAAGAACCGAGAGCACAAAATAAGACTCAATTGGGCCAACTAACAATTAGTACGCAGACTAAATATGGCCAGCCAATTATTCAGCAAGGCCATGGAGATCCCAAAACACCCCTTTAAAACTAAAAACAAAAGTAAATAAATAAAAGAAAACAGAGCAAAAACAAACAAAACAAAATAAAGCCATAAAAGAAAAAGAAAAAAAAAAAGGAAAAGAGAAAGAAATAATTGAAAAGAATCAAAACACTGACATGAACTTTTAAAGTGATTCAAAATACTACCTCACCTATGCAGCAACTCATTTTCTTCAAGTGAAACAAATATCAACTCTCATCACAAATACTAGTCCATAAAATAAACTAACAGAAAAAATTCATTTTTTCAAAAAGAAAATTTCTGTAGTCTTGAACAAATGCAAACATGTCTTTAAATAATTATTCAAAATAAATTTGCATTTGGATAACTCAAAAATAACAGAGACAATTTTCCCCCTACATGTCCTAGAATAGACTTTGGTCTTCAAATTTCAACCTGGAGCTAACTGTTATGACTATCAAGCCTTTTTAAAAGGCCATTTATAAACAATCACATGCACTATACCAAGCCTATTGTGAAGTTGCTTCTCACAGCACCAGCTCTCAGCAACTCTACTGTATTATGCAGCCAACCAGAGCCGTATAAAAATGCTCATTTTAATGGCTATGGACAGTAACCATTAATCTGATAGAACACAGAACAAGTGCTGTGCCTGTTGCAAACAGCTATTCCTTGCTACTTTTCATTATAATACATGTACAACACTGATACTATATTCTGGTAATGGACAAGATATAAGAACCCATTTTTTAAAACTGATAAACCATAAATACTACTAAAGAGCAACCCCAATATTGGTTCTCAAGTAATCTATTAATCATATAAAATTATTTGCTATTTGTAAACCTAAATACAGGATTCAAAGTGAGACAATGCCAAGAATTGTTGAATAGTTATGTTACTTAACTAAGAAAAGAAGTTAAGTCTACTTAAGTAGACTTAAGCTCAGGTGTAGTACATAATTCGATAATTACTTAACTAATTAGTCCACATTATTTTAAAAGGTATTCTTTGGTGGTGTTTTACATGCTTTTATACCTTGATCTAATGGTACACTGACAGACAAGGTAAACAAATTCACTTTAAGTACTATCAAAAATGATTACCAGGAGCTACTACTGAAAACCGACTTTCAGACAGTCTACGTGCCAAATAAAATTATTATGCTTAAAGTCAGCATCTAACAGGGTAGATACACAAACTGAATACAGTTCAAGCTACTGAACAGATACATTTTTCTAACCTTTTATTTAAGATTTTCAGATCCTAAATTCAGGTAAAGAAAGTTGAGTACAAGAAACAAAGAATCCTTCCCTTAGTCACTGAATTTCAGCTGCATTAATTAAAAACCTTATTTTAGTTTTCCTGAGTTCTACTACAGGTAAGAAAAGTTACACAATAATTCCTCACTTAATATCACCAAAAGGCTTTAGAAAATTTAGAAAACTGTGAGTTTACATAAAATATGTAACAAAACCAAGTTTTTTTCCTCATCGATGTTATAACAAAACAATGTTGAACGAAATGACTTTGCTTTAAATTGCTTTAAATTCCAAGAACCTACTGGTGATATTAAATGAGGACTGACAGTTATGAGTAGATATCAGCATTTAACTATGCAATGTCATTTCTCCCTCTAATATCATGCACTGATAAAATTACTACACATCGTGCACTACACATCTACACAGAAGTGTGATTTACCAAATGTCCACTTATCCAATTTAATTTGTCATTGTTCACAAGATAATTATTATAGTCAAGATGGCCTTCCCAAGAATACAGATATATTCCTGCAAATACCTTCCCATCACTAGAGATAGTCATCTAGGCTACAACAATTCTTAACCCTTTCTACACCTAAGTAAATCTTAATCCTCCTTTAATAGTCCACCTCTTCTATTATCTTTAAGGAGAAATCCTTTTTCTCTCTACTACCTTCATTGGAGGTCTGCTTCATAATACCTACAGTCATGTGGAACACTTTTGAACACTCACAGTATATAATTAAATATATGGTTACATAGTATGTAACATTATTTAACACTTACTTCAACTGAGCTTTTCAATTGTCAGCTTTTCAAGGACAAGGACTATATATTTTACTTCTTTTGCATCCTTTATGGTGCCCAGCACAGCACTGGCTACATAGAAGACACAGGACTTACAGAACAAATGATAAATTAAAAGTATAATTTTGCCTTCTTTTTCAATCCACCCCAACTCCAACCTCAGCTCTCCACAAACAATCTTAAAATTACATCTTAGTATTCTTCTTTTATACATTATTCCTCTCATATATGAATCCGTCATCCTAAGAGCTAGAATTTTAAAAAATCTGTTTCTGTAGAGATGGGGTCTTGCTGTGTTGCCCAGGCTAGTCTTGATCTCCTTGTCTTAAGCAATCCTCCCATCTCAGCCTTCCAAGGAGCTAAAATTACAAGATGTGAGCCACTACACCTGGCCTGAAAGTTGGATTTTAATATGCATAGTTTTCGGTAAAGAAATGAGAATATATAGCCAGTAGAAACAGAAAAGTGAGGAAGTCTACTTACTTAGGAAAATGGATATTAGAAATGAAAATGAAGTGATTATCTAGCACTAATAAAGATGTGGGTAGAAATTTCAATACAGAACATACTGTATGTATTCATGAGATAAGTGATAATAAATCGGTAGAGTGTTCAGGGCAGAGGGGGTTGAGTGATAATATAAGAACTGATTTACCATAAGCAATAGAACAAAGTAGACAAGAGGAAATATTAGGAGCCAACAGAAATCCCCAACATGGTCTTATGCTTTCTGGAATACATGTGCATGAAATGAGAAAGGAGGAGATACCAGAAAAGGCAGACAGAATGAATCTGCACGAAAAGGTTGACAGCAATTTTTGTTTTGTGTCTCCAGGCCTCTTGAAGGTATTTTTGGTAATATGCTGAACAATAATTGTAACAGGTAAATTTACCAAGTTCTGAAAAACCTTATATTGAAAGGTTCAGGGAAAAAAAAGTAACATAAAGAAAGTCTAAAAAGAAAATTAGTAGGATTTTTTGGCTTAGCTTTAATCATAAAGAATAAAAAATAACTTGCTCAGTCTAAAATGATTCCTGCTTACTCTGTAGGCCACTTGGAAATATTAATATTTATTTACTCTGTAGTACATTAAGTGTTCTAAGAAATCATGCATGCAAGGATTAATTTTTGTGAATAATGCTTTTTGGTCCCACATAAACTACAGAAACTTAACTATTAAGTATTAAACTACCATATGTGTCAAAAACTTGACAACAAATATTTGGGGGTAATTGATATTCAAATTATCATTAAGAAACAGAAATTAGAAATTGCTATAATACATATGGTAAGATTTGGTAGGTACTACAGGAGTTTATGTGGTGGAAATAATCACGGAGAACTTGGACAATGAGTTAAAAAAATATTTCATGGGAGAAATGAGTTTTGAGGACTTAAAGGTTAAGACTTGGTAAGCAAAGAAGAAAAAAAAAAGAACATTATAAGTGAGGAAAAAAAGACATCAGCAAGAGGTAGAAATGAATGTAACTTTTCTGGGGAACAATTAGGAGAAAATTTGACTTGATCAAAAAACTCAGCATGAC